GGAATGGGGGGAGGTTGGGGGTTCGTGAGGGGGGCGGGAAGTGGGAGGGGCGGGGCTAGGGCGGGGCTCCTCCCATCCTCTTTTTTGCTTGCTGAAATATGGTAACCCTAGCGGCTGCCAAACGCCGTTAGAAGGGAGCATTGCACAACTTTAAACGAGTATGTTCTCTAATTGATCAGCAACGTAACAATGTTAACCGGGACAACTTTAAGTGAGGCGTTACTGTACTGAAAAGGGTATCAAACTTAGTAGTATCATGGCCTCTTTTCTGATGTCACTAAGCAAATAAAATGGCCTAGGTCAGAAACATTTCTGGGCTCTGAATTCAAGGGCTGCAGTGTGTTCTTGCAGTGGAGCTGTTCTACATATTATTAACACCTTTGTGAGTTGAGTGCAGCCAACATTACATGCATTCAAATTAAATCTGGGTAAATAGTAGCTAATAGTTAAGTCATGAATTGTATCGCTGTTTGCTTATTGCCACCAAAACAATAGCCACATTTAACAGCTTCACCATGACCAGGTGCCGTGATCCTTACCACAAAGGTCTTGAATCTCTTCTTTTGGGATTCAGAAACACAGCTATGAATCCCTACCCCACAAAACATATGGAGGAGCTTTTCAAAGGCACAAAGGGCAATGAGACACCCAATTCCCACTGAAAGGCAATGGGAGTTGGACCCCAGACTTCCTTTTGTGCCTTTGAAAAGCAGTCCCAATACTTGCAAAAAGTAATGGGTTTGTGGTGGTTTTTAATGGCATAATGCTCTCTACTGCATCTCTCTTAGTGTATCAGAGAGTCCAAAGACAGGCCATGTCATACACTTGCATGCCAGTATCAGAGTTTATTTTATAAAATGCCTTTTGTGCTTGTTCTGTTGCTTTCTGCGTAATAATTTTAAAGAAACACAAACATTATGATTAGCCCTATCCCCTGAAAAGTAGTCTACCAAAAATTGATGCTTTGTTTGCTTGCTCTTTTCTTTTCTTGTATGTTTAGAATTTCTTAATGCTGATCATTTCAAGATCACCCACAGGAAAAAAAATTTAGTTGTTAAATGCTTTCAAGCCCAGGAGTTCCGCTCCTGTTATCCCTCACCCATG